AAGGTAAGGAGCCGGAGGGGGGGCTACCGGGCAACCGCGCTACCGGGCAACCGGGCTACCGGGGCCGGAGGGGGGGCTACCGGGCTACTGCGTCCTAGGGCTCCCGCGATACCGGGGTTCGGTGCGGGTCTACTCTGACAGTGATATCGAACCGGGGTCGGGGGTCCGGGTCTCCCCTCTGGGGAGCCCCGGACCCCCTCCCCCGGTGGCCGTTTTCCCCGATATTCCCCGGTTTTCCCGGTATTCCCGGTTTTCCGTTTTTCGTATTTTACCGCGGTATCGCGGTAGCCCGCCCACTTCCTTGTTTTTGTCACATGACTAAAAACAAGTCACATGACTAAAAACAAACCAATGAGAATCTAAACTAAAGCAGATTCAACCAAATATCTTAAAGATTTAGGGGGGGGGGAGGGGGCACGGAGCTACCGGGACACCGGGCTACCGGTGCCGGGGTCCGGTAGGGGGCTACCGGTAGGGCATGCCGAGTGCCAACGTACGTAATAATCTGAGAAAAATGTTTCTTTCCCAAGGTTTTCAACTTGCACAGCCACAGAGACTGCAATTATATAGCTGTGTATATATATTTATGGGACGTGCGGTCATCCTCACAAGACAAAACATACGATGACATATTATTATTTGTCCGCCGATCTTTATGTATGACTAATTGCGATCATTTTAATTGTCAAAATCGCTGAAATTGCACATTTCCTGTTGAAATACGGGGTGAAACGTGATGTGCGGCAGCAAGGAGCCGAGCTGAACCTCTGATTGCGCAATCCATCCCAAACTGGGCTGTTGGTGTCTGTCGGCGTATCGCTGAAATACGTTTCTATAGTCTGATTTTGGAGTCTGGCTAATGTCTTCAAGTATGTCTGTCTGTCTGTCTGTCTGTCTGTCTATTTATTTCCCGGATATATTAGTGTGTGGTTGAATGGGTGAATAAGGTATATTAACTTAAAGCACTTTGGAGAAAGGTGCTTTATGGAGTTCACTCCGTTTTCTTTTATTAGTTTATGGGGCGTTCTGCCACATCCAAGATGGCGGACTCGTAGACGTATCCTTGCAACGGACTAACAGTCTCAACGCGGCTTCATCTTAAGTCTATGGTTCCGGTTATGTGCCGTTGCAGCGCAACAGGAGTCAGTTTGCGTGGATCGAGCTGTGGGCTGGTCGTGATTGGAGAGGAGAGTTTGGGCGCTGGACTGACGTGGCAGCCGAGGAAACGTCGGAAGCTTTCGGTGGTGGGACTGAATGGAGCAGAGGAGAGCAGTAGCAAAGTCAAAGCATCCAGGCAAAAGCAGCTGTTAGCTTGGATTTTAAATCAGAACAATGCAATGGTGGATTTAGAAAGGAGTGACTGGAAAAGTATGGATTGTAGCGAAGAGGAAGAGATGGATGATCAAAATGAAGGGAAAGAGTGGGAAAAGGTGGGGAAGGGTGGTAAGAAACAGCGAGCTGCTGAAAGAAAGAGGAAAAAGCGAAGTGAAGAAAGTACAGAAAGTACTGATAGTGAAGACATTGAGGGGAAAACAGAAGAGTTAAAAAATCTAAACATTATAGTAAGATTTGATGAAGATGAAGGGATTAAGAAGATCGATCCAATTAAGTTAACAAAAGCACTTAAAGCACATGTGGGAGAAATAAAATATGCTAAAATACTGAGAGATGGAAATCTCCTGATTGGGTGTAATTCAGAAGAGGAGGTGGAAAAGGCGAAGAAACTTGGGTGGGTGTGTAAAGTCAAAGTTAGAACAGTTGTTAGAGTGGGTGAAAAAAGAAATATTGAAAGTAAAGGAATTATCACAGGAGTGCCTCTAAGTGTAAATATGAAAGATTTAGTTGGGAATTTAAAAGAAAAAAATAGGGAAGTAAAAAACGCAAGAAGGATGACAAAGGGTCCAGAGAAAGTTGAGACAGAAACTGTGTTGGTGGAGTTTGAGTCAAAAGAAGTGCCAAATGAGGTTTTCTTTGGTTTGATAAGATTTAGTGTCAGGGAATTTGTGCCTAAACCAGTGAGATGTTTCAACTGTCAGGAATTTGGCCATGTTGCAAAAATGTGTAAAGGAAAAAGGATATGTGCCCGATGTTCTGGAGACCATGAATATGGAAAATGTGGAGTTGGAGTTAAACCAAAGTGCTGTAGTTGTGGAGGAGAGCATAGTGTAGCTTATTGGGGATGTGAAGTGATGAAACAGCAAACAATGATACAGAAAACAAAAGTTATGCAGAAAGTTACATATGTAGAAGCGTGTAAGATGGTTGGAAAAGAGAAACAAGATGGAAAATCTGTGATTGAAGAAAAACAAGTAATTCAAAAGGTTATGGAAATAGTCAAAAGGAAAATAGAAGAGGAAAAAAAGAAAATGGTGACTTTTATTGCAGGAGTAATAAATGCAACCTCAGATGTGAAATCAAAGACTGAAAGGATTCAGATTATTGTCAAGGCAGCATGCCATTGCTTAGATTTGAAGAATATTCGATGGGAAGATATAAGGGGAGAACTGTGTAGCCAAGCAAACCAAGAAGGATAGTATTAATCTTGCAATGGAATGCAAGGAGTCTTCTGTCAAATGGTCAAGACTTTAAACAGTTCATTTATGAGCAGGAAGTTAAACCTGATATAATTTGTATACAGGAAACTTGGCTGAAGCCTTTTTTGGATTTCAGAGTATCGGGATATATTTCAGTGAGATATGATAGAAAAGAAGGAAATGGGGGTGGGTGTATTTATTTGATTAAGGAAGGTATTCCATATAAAATAATTGAAAGTAAAGGGGATTTGGAATATGTAGCAATTGAAATATGGGTAGAAGAAAAGATAATATTGATTATAAATTTTTATAATCCCTGTAAGAAGCTTGAAATAAGTAAACTTGAGGAGATGGAGTTAAAAGGAAATATTATTTGGTGTGGAGACTTTAATGCACATCACTCATTATGGGGAAGTGAAAAAGTAGATTATAATGGAAAAGTGTTAGAAGATTTTTTAGATAGTAATAATCTTGTATGTTTGAATAATGGTAAGAAGACAAGAATTGATATAAATTCAGGTAAGGAATCTGTATTGGATTTAACATTTGTTTCCAGTTGTTTGGCCCCATTGTGTGATTGGCAAGTTAAAAATAAGTCTCTTGGCAGTGATCATTACATTATAACCAGCAACATAAGGATGGGTCAGATACAGAGTCCTGAAGTGGTAGGAGGAAAGTGGGTATTTTAATTGAATTGAATTGAATTGAATATACTTTATTGATCTCCAGGGAGAAATTGAAAAATTGGAAAAGCAAATTGGAGTACATTTAATAAATTATGTGAATATAAGATTTTAAATGTACAAAATGATTTGAGTATTGAAAATATGAATCAAGAGATCAGTCAGAGTATTTTAGCAGCTGCTGAGGAGACCATTCCAAAGACATCAGGGAAAAATAGGAGAACGTTAGTTCCATGGTGGAATGATGAGTGTAGAACAGCAATCAGAGAAAGAAATAAAGCATTTAAATTGGTTAAAAGGTTTAATAATTTCCAACACTTAATTGAATATAAAAAATCACAGGCAAACGTAAGAAGAATAATAAGAAGTGCAAAAAGGAAATATTGGAGAGATTTTTGTGACAAAATTGGCAGTAATACAAAGATAGGGGAAGTTTGGGGAATGATCAAAAAAATGGGGGGGGATAGAAGAGAATGGAGTTACCCTATACTTAATAAAAACAATATAGTAGCAGTAACAGACAGAGAAAAGGTTGAGTTATTAGTAAGTGCGTTTGTGGAGATACATAGTGGGAAACATTTATCATTGAATGAGATACAGGGAAGAGAGAAAACTAAAAGGGAAAATAAAGAAATGTTAAAAAGGAAAGAGTGTAATTCTGATGATCTAATGAATTATCCTTTCTCTATTGGAGAACTGAAAAGAGCTTTGGGTAGTACTAGGAATAGTGCTCCAGGTAAAGATGAAGTGTGTTATATTATGCTAAGACATGTGAGTGATGATGTTTTGAATAAATTACTAATTTTGTATAATACGATTTGGAAAGAGGGTAGACTGCCTTGTAAATGGAAAGAAGCGATTGTTATTCCGATAAAGAAACCTGGGAAAGATCATAGTAATCCTGGAAACTATAGACCGATTGCTTTAACTTCTAATATTTGTAAATTGATGGAAAGGATGGTGAATGAGAGATTAATACAATACTTGGAGTCAAGAAATATAATTTCTCCTTACCAAAGTGGCTTCCGTAGAGGGAGAGGAGCTATAGATCCTGTTTTATGTTTAGAAGATGATATTAGAAAAGCTCAGATTAAAAAGGAAGTTGTTGTTGCTGTATTTTTTGATGTGGAAAAAGCATACGATATGCTATGGAGAGAAGGGTTAATGATTAAATTACATCAGATAGGTATAGGAGGTAATATGTTTAATTGGTTATGGGATTTTTTATGTGATAGAACTATTCAAGTTAAAATAGGATCTCATGTTTCACAATCATGTAAAATAGAAAATGGAACTCCTCAAGGAAGTGTGGTAAGTCCAACATTATTTACAATTATGATTAATGATATTTTTAAAGAAGTATCAATTAGCTATGGCAAGTCACTGTTTGCTGATGATGGAGCATTATGGAAAAGGGGAAGAAATGTAGAACATCTCATTTTGAAAGTTCAGGAAGGCATAGATAAAGTGGGTAAGTGGGGAATAGAGTGGGGTTTTAAATTTTCAATCGAAAAGACAAAAGTAATGTTCTTTACTAATAAAAAAATTGGGCTTGATAAAAAGTTGTATTTATATGGGAAAGAGTTGGAAAGAGTTGATTGTTTTCGTTTTTTGGGAGTAGTGTTTGATAAGAAATTAACTTGGGGAAATCATATAGAACATGTTATGGAGAAAAGTAAAAAGGTTCTTAACATTATGAGATGTTTAGCAGGATTGACACGGGGTGCAAATTTTGAATCACTTAAAAATGTGTATGTGTCATTAATTCGATCAAGAATAGATTATGGGAGTGTGGTATATGGTTCAGCGGCTAAAACTAGATTAAAAAAAATAGATGTTATTCAAACTAGAGCATTGAGAATTTGTTTAGGGGCAGTTAAATCAACTCCAATATGTGCTTTACAAATAGAATCAGGAGAAATGCCATTATATATTAGAAGACAACAGTTAATGATAAATTATTGGATTAATTTAAAAGGACATAATGAAGATCATCCTGTTAAGAAAGTATTAGAAAATTGTTGGGAAAGAGGAAAGAAACAAATGAATAGTTTTGGGTGGATTGGAGATGACATAGCAAAAATATTTAATGTATATACCAAGGAATTCAGTCCAACAGTTTTGTGGCCTTTGAGACCTACATGGACATGGAAATATATGAATGTAGATAGATCATTATCAAATATTAAGAAAAGAAATATAACAGACATCTGTCAAGAATTTTATAATAAAATACAGAATAAATATAATGACTATTTACAAATTTATACTGATGGTTCAAAAGATCCAAAAAATGAAACAACCAGTGTAGCAGTAGTGATTCCTGAATTAAAGATTAATATTTCAAAAAGAACCTCAAATTATCTGAGTGTATATGCAGTAGAATTATGTGCCATATTATTAGCTTTAGAATGGGTGGAGGATGCTAATATAAATAAAATAATAGTATGTATTGATTCATTATCTGCATTGTTGAGCATTGAAAAGGGAAGTACAAATAATCATAAAAATATATTATATGAGATTATGATTGTTTATCAAAGATTATGTGAACAAAATAAAAATGTAATATTATTTTGGACTCCTGCTCATGTGGGTATTTTGGGGAATGAAAGAGCAGATAGGTTGGCTAAGGAGGCTATTAAAAAAGAAGATATTGATATGCCAATAAAGTTATCTAAAGCTGAAGGAAAAAGTATAGTTAGGAGAGAAAGTAAGAAGATATGGAAAAGTAGGTGGGATAATGAAATAAATGGAAGGCATTTGTATAAGATACAAAATACAGTTGAGGTAGAAAGGATTAGAGGAATAAATAGGAGGGAGGAGATCATTATAAATAGAATAAGAACCGGTCATAGTTTTTTGAATGGAACTTTTTTTAAGATGGGGAAACATCTTACTGGTTTATGTAATTGGTGTGATGAGGTAGAAACAATGGAACATGTTTTTATTAGTTGTACGAAATATGTAGATCAAAGAAGAATATTAAAAAATGAATTAGGTAGTAATAGGGATTTGAAATTTAAGAATGTGGTTGAGCAGTTAAATGATACTGAGGGAAAAAAGAATATCTTTCGTTTTTTTTTAAATACTGGGATCATTATGAGAATTTGAGGTTTAGACAATAGGATCCAGTAGAGGGCAGTAATACAACAATCATGGATGTAAGCTGCCGTTAAAAATCAAAGAAGAAGAAGGAGTCAGTTGACCAATGACGTGTTGTGGCGTCATAAACAATCGCCCTGGCGCCTTGCTCTGAAACTAAACGGAAGAAAATAGTCCAGACTTGATCTGGTGCCTCGCGCCTCCTCCCCACCCCCCTAATAAACCGGAGGGACTGGTTTTAACGCTGGACGGTCGCTCTTTAAGGAATAAAAAATAGCAACGGGCTGCAAACTAAGAGGACCTTACGAGACGAGGACGAAGAAGTGTCTGGAAGCAGCTGTGGACGCGGAGCGGTTCTCTCTAAATGAGACGGAATGGACGGCGGCGGGGATAACGTGGCTCATGAATCTGCGGGTAGCTACACAATTCTCCTGTTTGTCTTTAGCTGAGGACGCATGCTTAAAACATAAAGCTAGCAGCTGCCTTAGCTTCTAACGCGGTATTACACTATAATAAAGTTTCCTTTGGCCGTCTTGAGAAAAACGTGAAAGTGGGGCTCCACCATCTTTTGATTTCTGGGGTTTTACTTGCGCGGGAACGATGAAAATTAATCCCGTCCTCAAACTAAACGAGTTCGATATAAACCAAGAAAGCAAAAACGCCTCTCGTTCAGTTAATTATTTAGCAAAATTCAGCAGTCTGGAGCAGGAGTGTGTTTATACAATGTCAAGGAGGAAAGACATCAGCCATAACCTAAGAGTCATCTGGATTCCACCACCCCTTAGAGAGAGAGAGTTTATTCACAGGTGAAGACATTCAGGATGGCTGCCAGTTTGTCCAACAAGGTCCCCCCTAGCTCATCCATCCCAGATGATCCGAGCAGGTTCTGCAGCACCAGGACCTTAAAGTCCACCAGGAACCCCCCAGGATCCCAAAGTGTTCAGAGTCAGACGGGAGGCCGTCTGTCCCACAGCTGAAGCTGGAGCCAGCCCCCCAACAGGACTGAGATCCAAACCCGTCAGCAGAGCCGTGCAGGAACCTCCATGAGCTGAATAGCTACAGGCAGCAGAGAGGGACAAAAGTCCTCCACAGCCATCGCAGAGACTGAGAGACCACCAGAAACCAGTTTCTAAACTGGCTGCTTTGGGTCTGCTCTCAGTTTTTGTTCCATAAATAAACCAGACAGTGTCTTCTGTCACATGATCCTGTGCTCTCTTTAGGTTCCCTCAAATTTAGAACCTGACAGGAACCAGATGAGGAGGGAAAAGGAAATGTGTCCAATTCAGGAGCATAGTTTGATGACGTCGTTGTGGTTGAACTGATGGTTTTTATGTACAGCTGTCGATGGCTCAGCTGGTCCACAGATTTCTTCCTCACTCTAAACTTTGTTTTCTAGGAAAGGACAGCTCCGATGATGATGATTTCATCCCACTGTCGAAGCTCCTGATGAGGCCTCCAAGTGGCGGGAAGAAGTCGTGTGACAACACCCACAGCTCCAACTCAAATTCAAAGAAAGACGATGGAGGTAACGACCACCTCAAAGGTCTGATTTCCACTTGGTTTCAGCAGCTCCTCCAGCTGTTAGCGGTTTTAGTGCTCAGCTGCTTTGGGGTTGGGAGCCCCAGAGGTTCAGATTTATCCACAAATCTGCCTCTTTTAGCTTTTATGCTCTTGTCTTTTTGAACAGATGGGATCAATGTTTCATATTTTTTCCGTCACTTTTTTGTTATCTTTTAGAAAAAAAATTAATTGACCTATTTCACTCATGTTTTTGTAGTTATGGATTTTTTTCAAATATTCAACCCATGTTTTTTACTGTTTTTATTCTATTTGATCCATTTGATTTTATTTACATAGTTTTTCTTTTTTTCAAATGTATTTTCATGTATTAACATTTTTATTTAATGTATTTTAAGTTATTATTTTTAATTTGTGCTTTTACTTTAATTTTTTATAGCTTTATTTTGATAAAATAATTTCTATGTTTTCTTTATGTATGTATTCTATTTATTTATCTTAATCTAATTTAATTGGATCGAATTCCATCTTTGTCTGTAGGTCCTGGGTTTTAGTTTCCTGTTGGTGAGGGTTCAGACCTTTTGAGATCAAAACTCTGTGTGCTTTGGGGGGGGGAAGCATTAAGTGACATTTCTTTATCCTCACTGCTCATTTTTCTGTCTTTGAAATGTCAAACCAGCCATTTTTCTCTGCGTTGAAGTTGGATTTTAACCAGCAGGTTCTCTTTGTTTCGCAGCTTTGGACGACTCCGACGACGAGCCGCTGATGAAGCTGAAGAAAGCCGAGCAGGACAAAAAGGAGAACACGCCTCCCAAACCTTCTGGTACTGAGCCGGCCGCTCTCCTCCCGCCCGCCGCCGCCGCCGGCCAGCTGCTGTTTGATCATCAGTCTTTTTCTTCAGGTTCCAACACAGACGGCGACTCCGACAACGAGCCGCTGGTCAAAATGGCCAAAGTTTCCTCCAAAGCCGCCAGGAAGCCGCGCTCTGCAGCCCCGAGGAAGTCAGCCAGCAGGAAGAAGAGAGGTGGGAGGAGCCCGCCGCCTCCCTAGCGTTTTCCGCCGCACCGCCTCTGACTTCCGTTTTCCCCGTTTGCTCGCAGCGTCCCCGCAGAAGGACGACAGCTCCGACGACGACGAGCCTCTGAGTCAGATCGCCAAGAAGGTGAGGGACCAGTACCCGAGGAGGCGGGCGGCCATGGCGTCCAAGAAGCCCCCCCCGGCCGTCAAATCCCAGCGGACGGCGGCCAGGAAAAGCGGTGGGTGTGACTCCCGCCGGCCCGAGTGGCATCCTGTCTCTGACCAGAGGTCAGAGTTCTGACTCCATCAAAGGCAGCAAGAAACTTAGATGTCATCATTGATGACCAGCTGACCTTTAAAGATCATGTTACCTTCGTTTCTCGATCTTTTCGCTTCACAATACTTAACATAGGAAAGATCCGGCCATACCTAACCGCCCAGCTCAGTGTAGTCAAACTCAGGTCCCTGATGCCCACAGAGTGCTTAAGGGTTCGGCTCCCGTCTACCTGAACCCTCTCAGAGGCTCCTGTCCCAGCTCAGCCCTCCGGTCATCAGCGGGTTGTGGTCCAGCAAAGCTGCTCCACGTTAAGACAGTCAGACTGTTCTCAGGTGTGGTTCCAAGATGGAGGAAGGAGCTACCAGGCCTAGAAGAGCAGCAGGCCCCTGTCTGTCTTTATAAACTCCCACAGACCCCCCTCCCCACAGAGCAGCTCCTATCCTAACTCCTCCCCAGACCTCTGGACCCTCTACTCCTCTTTCTGAGCTTCCCTCTATCTCCTACCGTCTCCACTGACTCTGACTGGGGATTTTCCTCCAGAGAGTAGATTGTCAGATTGAGGAGAACTGTAACATTGGGTCTACTTTGTGAGTCGCTTTGGATAAAAGCGTATAAATGCAGAAACAGAAACCTAAACAGAGGCTTTTCCCTCCTTCTGCAGTGAAATACGTGGAGACGTCCAGCGACCGCAGCTCCGAGGACGAGCCGCCGGCCGAGGGCAAGAGGAGGAGGAG